GTGATTTGAGTGCTTTCCAACACGAGAGGCTCATCTTCCAACACTAAGTAGACAATGTTTCACTGCTATTCGTAAGGTTTCACTGACCAGTTGCTTTAAGAAGTGCATTGCTGGGGCCTCTTTCCTAGTCTGGTAGCTCCACTGAAACCTGTGGCATGGCTGACCCCCCCTAGCAGAGCTGCCATCACCACGGCAGTACATCAAAGTGCCATATAAGTGATGGTTGACGTACTGCTTCAGCACTGCTGTTGCTGGTATGTGCCATCGAGTCGACTCCAACTCATTGAAAATCTATAGGTTTTCCTGAGAGCAGCAGCTGGTGGATTTGAACTGCCAACCTGTGATGTGAAGGCCTGTGGTGATTGTTAACATAGTTTCAGTTCATTCTAAATATACCAAATTCACGGGCAACAATATTCCTACCAAAAAGGAAGTATATATAATACAGGAGAATACAGATTAAATGTTATATTATGAAATGTAAATTTCGGAACTTCCAACACATTAGCTGAAATATGTCACTGGGTTTTTTGGTTTTTTTTTCCTGATTAACACCCTCGGAAACCCTGTACAGGGTCGCTATGGGTCGGAACCGACTCGATGGCACTTAACAACAACAACAACAACAACAACAACAAAGCTTTAGTAATGCATTTAAACAAAGTTTCCTTTGGGTTTAAAAATGCCTTTTAGAATATCATCCAGACATATTTTTCTACTTTCATTGGGAAGTAATAATGAGATCATCAGAAACAATATGCTCATTCTACTGGGGAGTAGATTTCTAGGCAGCTGTGATGTTGGAGAGAGCAGTGACTCTCCAGGATAAGCACTGGACTGCAAAAAACAAGGTCAATGCTTTTAGAACTTGGAGTCTACCAGTCATTCCTTGGGAGAAAGAGAAGACTTTCTGCCCCAGAAAGACTCAAGCCTCTGTATAGGAAACCCCGTGCTGAGTGGCTATGAGTTGGAACCGACTCAACAGCACGGAACAATAACAGCTTGAAAGATTAGTGATAAAAAGAATGGGTAATGATAAAGGATGCAGACAAAAAGTTATACTGAGAGTAAACAAAGTAAACATTTCAAATTGTACTAATTTTGTAGGTTTTCCAACAAAAAATAAACCTTAGAGTGATTTTAGATCATTGTGCAAACTACAGACATCACATTATTTAGTACTGTCGTTCATCCATTCAAATTTTATTGAACGTCTGTTATGTGTAGAGAACAGTACTGTGAGTACAAAGGTACATGTACTGATGCTGTGGGTAGAACAAACAGACAACTACCATGGATGGCCCTTATCCTTGGGAGGTTCATTTCTATGAAACACCACATACATTAAGTTTTTAAATTGGATTTGGGAACAGTTCATTATCAAACAGTTCTTTTGCTATAGATGTTTTTCCTAACACTGTTAATCAGTCTCGTTGAATGTAACCAATCTATTATTTCATGAGCTAGAACATAGAACAAAGTAGTTGGAAGTCAAGAATGTGACTCATACTTTTTTTCTTTTTTTGGTCTTAGTGTGAGTTGGCCTATTTGTGTTATAGGCCAAATAATACCATTTCTCATCCTTATTTTATACCCCCTTGTAATATTAAAACTCAGCATAACTTTCAGGTAGCAAGTACATATCAGATAACAAAAATAATTAAGGCTGATTTAAGATAGGGAAATTATGGAAAAATATTTTAAAAGAGTTCAGTTCCTGAAATTTGTATTCTCTTATAACTGGCTTCTGAAATCTGTTTTTAAAAACTTTTCAGTGGATGTTTAAGGCTTGAGCATGCAAACAACAACAACAACTCAAAGACAAGTTAATTATTCTCATCTGTCACATTTCATAGCACAGAGATGTAGGTAGCGTCAGCCTTTATAACACTTTCTGCCTTCAGTGTACATTAAGGAGGGTCCTTTAGAGCAATATGAATTTACCTGTGTCATCAGGATTCTCTGGTTTAAAATATATTTTCATTTCCATTATGGGAATTAACTATTTTTGCATTTAAGAGTAAGGGATAATTATTATAATTTACTCTTTTTATTTCATTATTCCTTTCTCATATAAGTCAAGATGCTGAAGAACTAAATTGATTTTTTTCTTCAAGCCTTCCTACGTTTTTACCTTCACTTGTTGAAAGATTGAGACACTGAGACATAATGAAAGAACAATAGCAATTTTGTTGCAAACTTAAGTTATACTAAAAGCAAAGTGTGGTCTTGAATACTTCCACTGATTTAGTGAAGAGTCTGATTTACGATTACATGTGACCTTGAAAAGACACATTACAGTCTTATTGAGATAACATCTGATAATTCTTGCTTGCCCTTTGCAATCAGAACTGCTTTGCTTAAAATAAAATTGAAATTACAGTGTTCCTCCTGTTTTCTTTTTTTAACCTTCCTTTCTACCCTTGAAATAAGATCAAAATCCAAACTAAAGATTGAAGGTACAATTGTGTTCATTTAAGACTGTTTCGCACTTCAACTGAGAAAAATACTTACTTTTTTAAAAAGGTGCTTTCAAGATCTTATTTCTCTAAGTGCCTTTGAAAATATGAATTTCCAGTTTGCTTAAGAAAAGCTTACTTACAATAAACGTGAAAGGTTTTTTTTTTGTGTGTGTATATGTATGTGTGTTTTTCTTTCCGTATAATCCATCATTACGTTGTCTGAAAACTTTCTGGTTTGGCTTTCAAAGTTTTTATTTTTTATATTGTGATAAAATTTCAATGCTGAAATTAAATTACATACCACAAGTAGTTCTCCAAGGACAAAGCACCAGAAAGAAATCCTTTTAAAGAGTTTATGAAGAGAAAGCTTCCAAGTCAGCCTAACAAAGAGGAAATCCAAAAGAGATGTTGACCTGAGAGCATTTTCAAATACATTTTTTTTCTTTCTTTCTTTTGGGCTCCATGCTTTCTCAAAAGGCTTATATCACCCTCTCCCTCAAAATATTTATTATCATTTAAATTGAAATGAGTGTTTACTGGGTACCCAAATCATCCTGAGGTCCTCTCATGCATGATTTCAGTTACTGAAGAGGATCCTGGGACCTGAGAAGCTATTGTGTGAGCTGCTGTAGCAGATCTTTGAGCCTGTGTACCCACTTCAGAAGCACAAATAGCGAAGTGGTTCTCTTGCTGCTGAGTAGCTGGCATGCTGCCGTCTTCAGTCTTCCTTGGGTTTCCTGATGACCATCGTTAGCTGCTCTATTGGATCAGTAGAAGAATTGCTCTTTCTGACTCCTTAGCTTCTTTAATGGATGAAAATGACAGGGAATTTCTTTAGGCTAATTATTTCTCACCATTTCCTTTAAAAAAAAAATGGGTTGGTTTAAGCTGGGGTGCAAAAGTTCTCTATATAACTCTGGCAATGGGAGGAAAGTAAAAGATTGTTGGGTCTAAAAGGAAGAACCAAATGTTGCTCATCAATTTTAAACAGGACCTGAAGAGCAGATGAAAGGTCTTTCCGTTTTTCTGAAACTGTGTTGTGATGACAATATGGTTTTGTGTGTCTGTGTGGTTTTGTTTTTGTTTCGTTTTGGACTTCACTTCAGGAAGAGGTTTAAACATGAAGGCAAACCTTTTAGATGTCAGCATGGCTACCTAGAAAGCAAAGCTTCCTTTTGTTCTTTTCTTTCCTCTGCTTCCATTTAGGCCTATCACATAATTTAAGGAAAATTTAAATTTAACCACAGGAACTCTAACTATAGTGTGAAAAAAAAAACAAAAACCCTGATCAATTTTGTTTTCGCAGCACGATATTATCAAAGATTTAAGAAACAAATTTGCCAGCCTCGGCGAGAACTCTCTGGTAACAGCATAAATGTCTGTGTTGGTTGCTTTTGATTTAAAGGTTTCTTTTTCATTTGTTTGAGCCCATTTATTTCCCCCCTCCTTTTAGTTCACTTTATTTTTCATATTCTGTAACTAGCAAGCCTTCATTTTTTAAACCTCTTCCATCTCCCAGTGTCTATTTTCCGTACTTTGGATGGAAAGTTTACGGCAGCAAAGCTGTCACTCTGGCTACCTCTGCTGCAGCTCTTCCTGCTCTTAGGTCATATATGTTTTGGCCGTTGTGTTTATGGACATGAGACGAATTGATTGTTTCATGTCCCATTGACTAAGCTTCTCTACCACACCATTTGATGGGCTCGCTGTCATAGGGCTCTATGCAACTTTCATTCTGCAACTTATACTGCTTAGTTCCGCCTCAATTCTCCAACGAACTGGAGTGCTCAAGTGAATGATCATATCGGTCTTGACCGGGCTGTGCCTTTATATTTTATTTATTTATTTATTTATTTTCTTCTTTATGTTTTCAGTGGTAGTTTAAGTGGAAAAGAACAAGCTCCAGCCATTGCTGTAGCAGTGCCATGCAGTGTCGTTTGTTACCACCAGAGAATACAAAATATAAAGGCACATTGCATCTTTTATGTGGGGGGACGATCGGGGAGATCTGTATCATAAGCCCACGACTTAGTTGAAACCTTCCTTTTTTTCTTTTTAAAATCCATATCAGCTTTCAATTTTGCTTAAAGTCCAAGATGTCTCAGTTAACGTTTTTCCGTGATTCAGTGATAACTTGCAACTCGAGCCATTTGCTGAGCAGTATCAAGTTATGGCCATGGGATGGGAGATTGTTCAAAATGGGACAAACTTCTGCACAAATGTATAATTCAGAAAGTGCAAGTTTAAATGATGAAGTATGTACTTCAAAACTGCGATACAGGCTTTGGACTAACCAAATCATTACAATTGAGAAAATCCATCTTGATAAACCAGTACCAAAAGCATATCAAGAAAAATATAAAGGAAAAAGCCAAGAGTTGAATATGTTAATACCTGTTTAATGACATTGTTGGTGTTGAAATGGTCCATAATGTTGTCATAGAGCCCATACATGAAGAGATGACTAAAAATATGATCTTTAGAAAGTTGTTATGCATACTGAAAGTCACAACATAAATGGTTGGGATTTGTGTCCAGGAAAAAGAAATGGAAAAGCAAAAGCTTCTATACCAGCAAGCCAGACTCCACGATCGAGGCGCCGCTGAGATGGTACTACAGACAATCAGTGCCAGCAAAGGTGAGAATTATTTCATCTCCCAGCAAAGTGTTTCTTCTCCAGATTCCCTCTTTGACTCTGTAGATGTGCCTTCATTTAAATTCTACTGATTTATTTAGTTCGTTCCTGAATTCCTTATTCGTGACTATTTCAAATGCTACTATTCAGTAACGCCAGCTCTTGTAAGTCCAGGATTGTTTTTCTTTCAAACACTTTCTACAAGATTGTGCCTGTACTTTACATTTTAGAAGCTATACTACAGTATGACTAAATGCTAACAAACTGATCAAGTAAATCAGGGATCAGCAGACTTACCCTGTTTTCAGTTTTACAGGCCGTACCAATATGATCTCTGTTGCAACTACTCAACTTAGTTTTTGTAGCAGAAAATCAGCAAGAGGTAATCTGTAAACAAATGGGCATGGCCGTGTCCCTATAAAACTGTAATTTATATAGTTTGTTAACCCCTAATATAAATGAAGGAGCTCTGGTAGCATAGTGGTTAGGAATCAGGCTGTGAACCACAAGGTCAGCAGTTTGAAACTGCCAGCTGCTCCTTGGGAGAAAGATGAGTCTTTTTGCTCCCGTAAGGATTTACAGCCTCGGAAACCCTGTTCAGGGTCACTATGGGTCGGAACCGACTCGACGGCACGTAACAACAACAATATAAATGAACAGACTTCTTAAAGTATGTGCTTTAACAATGGAAGTGCTATTGTGTATCTGAGAAGTCAGCCATTTTAAGATACTTTCTTTGTCTTATGTTAGTAATACCTTGTTGAGAAACATTCTAAATACAATTTGCCATGAAACAGCGAAGTGATGGTAGGACAGTCTGTTAGTCCGTTTCCACTTCCAAATTCTTGGATACTGTTTCAATTCCTAAGACAAGTAGGTGATTAACATAAAAATAAAGTATATCAAATGATGGAGTCCTTTTGTGGCACCTTAGGATAAGTACTGGACCGCAAATTTGGTTTGAACTGCTAGGTTGGCGGTTCAAACTCACCAGCTGCTCCTTAGAAACCCTATACAGTGTCGCTACGAGTCAGAACTGACTTAATGGCACTTAACAACAACAATAACAACATATCAAGTGATAGTTGGATTTTTTAATTTTGTCGTTACTCTCTGGTCAGTTTTAAATTGGGAACACGGTAGTTCCATGCAATAAGCCATGGACTGTTAGCGACAAGCTCTGTGATTCAAGCCCACCAGCCACTCCCTGGGAGAAAGATGAGCCCTGCAAATCTTTTAAACGCATCAGAAACTCAATAAAGGGTCCCTGTGAGTCAGCGCTCACTCCACTGCAAACCATCAATGAAATCAATTTTAAGTTATTCTAATAAAGTAAGATTGCAATCCGTATAGAAGTGATGAGATGAAAAAGATAAAATTTATTCAACACTAATACTGCTGGAATGGCAGTGGGGAGAGGTATTTTCCTTAAAGAAATTTTCATGATCTTGTACCACACATTTCAGAAGCATTTTAATGATTTATTTGGAAGTTTAACTGTTTCTGATCTCATTATTTAAAAAAACTGTTGGGTTTTCTTTATATTTCGTTATAAAATTTTAAATACTGGTTCAGTAAAGTTCAGCAGTACAGAGAACTTTTTAAAAACTTTGACCACAAAACATGCATTATTACTGTTTCTGTGATTTTTGTTAATTATTTCAGTCTGCTGCTGCCTTGTATAGATTTGTAGGGGCTGATAATAATTTTTTAAAGTAAATGTTTTGAGCTGAAATAGGTTAATGTGGGACATAAGACAATTAAAGTTTCTTTTTTTTTTCCCTTTATTTTTAAGGTGAAATGGGGCCAATGGTAGCTGCTACTTTGAAACTTGGAATTGCTATCTTAAATGGTGGGAACTCGACAGTGCAACAGGTAATACCTTTAAACCAGTCCCAGAATGTACTTTTCAAATAAATGAGCCACAGAGTCAAATGACTACTCATGAATTGTTTTACCTTCTGTGTAAAACATGTCCCTATTTTATGCTCAAGTCCTCCAAGTATCCAGTTACCTTCTAGTCAATGAATTCAGCACTCTGGGCAAGCACGCTCTTTCTTTAGACATCTGCAGACGTGTTGTATGGTGGCATCATTTGAAATGACATATTTTATGTGTATAAGTCAACACAAACAAGTTTGTAGTTTTTGAAATTGTGGTAATTATTCTTACCTGTTGTGTTACGAATCGGGCTGCGAACCTTAAGGTCAGCAGTTCGAAACTACCAGCTGTCCCACGGGAGAAAGATGAGGCTTTCTGCTCCCGAAAAGATTTACAGGTTCGGAAACACTGTACAGGGTCGCTATGAGTCGGAACCGACTCCACAGCACATAAACAACAACACAACATTGTGCCTACCTTGGGAACACGTTTTATAGTGTCCTTTTCCCTGTAGATTGAGTCTCATGATTTTATTAAGGCAGCTGTTAGAGTAGGTTAATATGTTAACATACACTTGGTTACAATATTCTTGAAGAATTCTTTTCAATCTCTTCAGCTAAGAGAAAATCACCTCCCAACCAGGTCTCATAGCTTTGTTATGATTAAAACTTGCATGTTGTTATGTGTTGGGTTTTAATGACAAAAGTCTGCAACCTATATATACATCTGAAGGCCAAAATCTTTGAGTTTGTTAAAATGAATATACTTAAAAAAAAAAAAATCTTTTAAACCTGTCCAAACAAACTTGCCACTGGTTGTGTACTATACATTTTGGGGACACCATTCACATGGATTGCAATGAGGCTCTGAGCAGAAAAATGTTTTTGCTTACTGGAAAAGCAACCACAACAAAAAGTTAAGTTACAGTTTGTAGACCTGATTTTTCTGGTTTCTCCTTGAGAAAGACTCAAGGAGCTCTGGGAGCGTAGTGGTTATGAATTGGGCTGCGAACTTTATGGTCAGCATTTTGAAGCTACCAGCTGTTCCATGGGAGAAAGATGAGGCTTTCTGCTCCCTTACAGATTTACAGCCTCAGAAACCCTGTACAGGGTTGCTATGGGTCTGAACCAACTCGACAGCACTTTAACAACAACAACAACATGAGAAAGACTCAGGGATCTATTAGATGAAATGAATAGCAATCTGTTTTGGATGGGTGTTAACTAGGTTCTCCTGTTAGATGAAATTAAGGGCTAAATCAAGCCCTTAGGATGTTTGACTCCAAGCTGCTATGGACCTAAGAAGCGTGATGTTTGGGACAAAAGTACTAATGTGCTCCTGAAGACCTTTGAACCTCCAGAAAGAAAAGCAGAGAAAGTTTAGATTGCTTCTCAGTTACTGAAATTTTGAGTTAGGGTTAAATAACAGAATATTTGAAAGCTTCATCTTGAAATTTCTCTCATTCTTTACTGTTTCTGTAAATGTAATCACAGTATTTTAGGACTGGAAGAGAACATAGAAATCCTCTAATTCAAGGGTTCTTAACCTTTTTTCATTTTATTATTACTTAATGCCATGAACTAACTCCCTCTGACAGTGTGGTGAAGCCTTTGGCTCCCTTTAAGAATGTTTCAACTGTACATTATAAAATGGAGTAAGCTTGCATAAGAAACACAAGACATTGAAATTCAATTATTATGCAAACATTAATAAAATCAGGATTTTGAAAAAGTATTGTGATGTGTGTTTGCTTATGAACTCATTAAATATGAAGCTCTGGTACTTGGTCTAGTAATGACCATAACTGAGAAGAAAGAAGTAGTATAAATATTTTGAAGCACTTGCAACAACTGTAAAGTGGCATGAGCATATCTGGAACTCCTACTGGTGACAAAACCACAGTTACTGATAATTCTACTTTTCTTTGTGGCCTACATTAATAGTTGAAAGCACTGTTAAGAAGAGTTACTGGTTAGTGAAAATAAAGATGTGTTTCTCCCATCCAGTTTCACAGACATCTGTAATTCCTCTGAACCTCAGATTAAGAATCCCTGATCTTTCATTTTACATAAGAAACAACACTGAGTCCAAATGTATATACTCTCTTCTTCCTCTCAGTGATTTGCACATACAGGAGATCTGACCATTGAGGCTAAGGGATCTTGCTCTAAGGTGAATTGACTTGTCACTTACCCCAAACACCCAGCAAGAATGAAGGGGAAAAAAGTCATTATGTGAAAACTGTACGTAGCCAAACATCAAAGTGCTAGTATATGGAACTAAGACAGTCTTTATATGGGTCTTTTTTCTTGACAAATTATTTCTCATATAAGCATATGAATTATTCTGTGGCTATCCAAACACTAAGCCATCAACATGTGAAGAATATTTTGATTTAAGAATTTGTTGGGGTGACTCTATTTTGATTTCCACTGCTAAAGGTCTGTGTTGTTGTTAGGTGCCATTGAGTCAGTTTCAACTCACAGCAACCCTATGCACAACAGAACAAAACACTGTCCGATCCTGGGCCAACCTCACTATTGTTGCCACACTTGAGTCCATTGATGCTGCCACTTGGCCAGTCCATCTCACTGGGGATCTTCCTCTTTTTCTCTGACAGTCCACCTTACCAAACATGATATCCTTTTTCAGCGACTGGTTCCTCCTGACAATACGTCCAAAGTATGAGAGATGAAGTGTGGCCATCCTGGCCTCCAAGGA